TGATATTAATGTAATTTTATAAGGAAAATTTTACAACAATATGTAAATTACCTTAATTATTTTAATTATAGAGTAATGCTACGTGAACATCTTGGATGACACTTTGGTTGACCGAACACACACACATGGGAGGTCGACATTATTTAATTCATGCGAGACCCACGGTGCAATGTGAGGGTCGATCAATCGACATAGCACCAAATTCAGCCGAAGTGGCTTTACTCTTAATCATATGTTAACTAACCTTATTGCTGCATTGAATCCAAAAGCTACCATGGCTGTCCATCCCACTATGTTCGTGCTGTAAAATTGAATAGTTTGTTTTAGCAATAGTAAAATGAACTTACGCTACAACAATAATAAAATTGGCATTGTTCTAGATAAATTGGGGATCGACAATAAATTATAATTGAAATTTTGGATTTAAATTATTCCAAAGGAATTTTAATTTTTAATTTTTTTAATAAAAAGGACCATATAAATGACCAAAACAATATGTACTTGATACACTTATAGTGGAAATAAATTTGTAAATTTCTCTTCATTGTGTAAAAGTATTGTAATATCATCATTGATATTTTAACTCTTATTTAAAATGATGACAATTTTTAAGGGTAAAATCCTAAGTCGAATAAATATAAAATCATTTGTCGACGTATAAGAATTTTGATTACTTCTCTTAATAATGTTAAAGTGCAATCCCGATACTCAATACTATTCAATCAAATATGATCTCTTCGGCCCTCGAGGTATAGCTCAGTGGTGCAAAGAACGGGAGTGAGGTAGTCTTAACTGAGCTGACAGTCGCAGTATGAAAGTTCGATTCCTGCCTCTTACAATGTATGGAATTAGACTCTTTGTGGGTACCAGTATGACAACTCTTGTATCTTGACCTATTGAGGCACATTTCACGATTTACCTCTTCCACAATATTCTAGACAAGGCAGTGGGGGACCCTCAATGTTGGGGTTCAACTTCTTTTTCAAATATGATCTCTTCATAAATACTTACAATATTCTAGAAATGGGGCAGTGGGGACCCTCAATATTGAGGTTCAACCTTTTTTTTCAAATATGATCTCTTCATAAATACTTACAATTATTGTGAAAGCAGAGGCAAATTATTGTTGTGGACAAAAGTGTGCAGACACTCACCATACGGATAAAGCATCCACAGAAACTTCTGCATTCTTCAAATATCCAGCAACCAGGACTAAAGACATGAAATACCACGTTTCTAAGCTGTAAACATTAAGAACGAAATTCAAATGAATCAGTGTCGGAGCAGAATTTTCATAAATATAGATCAAGAAATATTGTGGAGCGATGGCCCGGCCACCATGTGGCTCCACCACTGAAATGGCAAAAAAAAAAAAAAGTTGCTTTTAAGTTGATAAATTTGTTACTTACCATAACATAACTGCTGATTCGAGCGATAACCTAACAAAACTCCACAGATTTTGAAAAGCCTTCCATGAAAATCCAGACCAAGCTCTACCACAGCTACCCATGAATATATAAACCAGCTGCGCCACCACTATCAGCCACCACGATGCGTTCAGCACCACCGCAGCCCCCACCAGCCCCCATCCCAACTTAAGCATAAACAACCAGCTGAACAGTGTATGGAGAGCCAACCCTATGCCAGAAATCCATGCCATGACAATCATTTTGCTCTGTGATTGCAAGAATTTGGCTATTGGAAAATTCAATGCATATGCGTAGAGTTGAGGGATCATCCAAATCGCCAATTCTCCGGCAGCCTGCGATATATCAGGCGTCTGGCCGATCAACCGGAGAAGTTGGGCGGCGAAAATGTACAAGAGCGTTAGAATAAAAGCAGTTGCTGTGAGGATAATCCATGATCTTTGCATGTAAACTCCAAGCATGTCTATTTGTCCAGCCCCAAATGCTTGTCCACAGAGTGTTTCCAGTGCACTTCCCATTCCCAACTGTTCAATCATTTGAATAAGTCTTATAAATGAAATAATTCAATATGAGCATACAAAGATTGAGTTCAAAGCTAAAAGATTTCAAAGACTAGACGAGTAAATAGATTCACCTTGAAACAACAATGAATACGCTTACCTTTTTTTAACATCAAACGACCCTTTTCATTCAATAGAAGTCATCACGAACACATTCGAAATGAAATAACTCAAGCTTTTAGATTATAAGGTGGTTAAACATACCATGACCCCAAAAGAAAAACCTGCTATGACGGAGTTCTCAACAGAGACGGCGGCGAGCTCAAGTGTGCCGAGATGGCCGGCTAATGTTTGCGTAATGGCGCCGAGGGAGTATTGGCAGAGGGTAGTGAAAATGGCTGGTGCAGCAAGATACCACAGTTTCTTGGACTCAATCCAAAACTGTTGAAAGAACACATTAACGCCGGTGATCGGAGGAATGTCATTTTCGTCGGCCGTGAATGATGAAATAGATCGTTGAATCGAATATTGTTCTTCAGTTTCTTCATCCTTTACCGGAGAAATAAGTGGTTGCTTTGAATTGTCTTCCATTGCAACTCACACAGAGGGATAATAGGATTGTGGGTTGTAATTCGTAGACAGAAACTGTAACATGGGAATTAATTCACAAGGGCCCATCATGTCACTCACGTGATGGCCTCAGAATTTAGTAAAAAAATACTGTTAACATATTTATTTAACTTGTTGTTTTGTGTCACGCGAAACCTGGTTTGGTTGGACTACTATGCTCATGATCTTGTCTGAGAATAAATAATTTGTAATTAACTTATTTTTAGTCTCAACAATCTAGAATTATACATTAAAGCCTAGAAAATTCTAGAGCAATTTCTTAAGTAGGTGTTGTATCTTCAGTAAGTACCTACATATTCAAAATTTAAAAAGGGTAATTTGTCATTTCATTAAGAAAATTAAAATTCAGAAAAATGAAAAGGGTTGAGTATTTCAATTTTTAAGATTAAATAAAATGTAGTGTCAATAACAGCGACTTTATATAGGTAAATATTGGCGAGCCAAACGTCAATTTCAATCACAAAAACCTTGTCCACTCTCAAAAGTCTTTCCAAATTCGTCGCATTTAGGTATATCGATTCTTTTTAAGAAGTGTTACCAAATTATCTCACCTCCATTTGTATGAATTTTAACCATCTAACTATTCTTGACAAAAATAAACAAAATTGACAAGAATCCTTAGTCCAGATGAACAATAAAATTTCGTATTATCACGAATCTGGTCAACTTTGTTCGGAGTACATATAAGTCATTTTACATTGCCGGAAGACCATATTATAAAATTGGGTAATTATATTACCACCAGAAAATTTATTAAGTGCACCACAAATTTTAATTTTTTTCTTATTTATTTAAATAATCTTAAGTAAAATTACATAATTATGGTTAATATACTTTTAATTATTCACATGAATTCTTCATGTGCAATCCATTATAAGAATTCTTCATGTCCAAAGAATTTATTTTTTATGAAAATTATCCATTAAAATGTTAATTTTTCTATCATTGGGTCTAGAATTTGATCCAATTGCTAAAAATTAAAAAAATTACAAAACTTTTTTACTATACCGAATATCATTTGTTTAACTTTGTTTTGCATGGAAATTATCAATAAAAGTGATAAATTTTTTTACCATTGTACCTAGATTTTTTTCTAATTGCAAAAAAATAAAAAATAAAAAAAAAATCCCTAGAAAACCATTTCCCACCACTTTGGTGGGAAAAGGATTTCAAGGAAAAACAAAAAAATGTGAGTGTGTGAGGAAAAATGGGAAAATGGAAAGCAAATTCCATTTTTCATGGAATTGACTCCCTATCAAACACACCCTTAAAGCATTGAATTCAAAAAAAATAATTTGAAAAATAAATTAAAAGGAACAGGGTGCGGGGCACCCTTTACCCGTCCTCGTCCTGAACCTGCCCCGAGGCAAAATTCCCTTTCCCGAATATCGGATTAAGCGGGTAATCCCCGCCCCATTCGGATGAGGCCCCAGGGATATCTGGTTTGTTGAATTTTTTTGTCTTCCCTAAAAGAATTAAACAAATCATTCTTTACATGGTTATTTGTTATGATTTTCTAACGAGTGTTGCTATGGGTACAGAAAAGTACCCACAGAAAATTGACAGAATACACACAATAGGCGGGCCTCGATTTTTCAGCAATATTTAATTCATGTGGGCCCCGTTACTCCATGTGAGTGGAATTCAAATTTCGGTGAAAAATCTGTATTTTTTGTTCCTGTACTTGCAGCCTTTTTTCTTTTTTAATCATTATTTCGCATGGAGAACGTGGTTACTTGTTGTGTTTAATATCATCTTTACTTATTGCAAACGGTGAGAACAACGACAAAACTTTATTCTCCCAAGCTCTTTTTATATGCCTCAATAAGTTAAAGTGGAGACTTCATTATCATAAAGTCCAATCACATTTATACAATTATTATTTACAAGTCCAATCACGATAATTGATTTTTCGAGGTGTTTTCTTAGATTGTTTATTAAATTATATTCATCTTTAATCATGTTATTGTTGAGTGTTGAATACTATGGTCTCGATTGGCCGGCCTCCAACTGCTTCCACTATTATATGTACTATTTTCTTATTTAATCAGTGATGGTTATGACATTATCGTATGTTGGCATGTTGCTAGTTTGTCTATATAAGTTTTGGAAAATATTATATGTACAATGGAAGATGGCAATGAAGGATGACCAACACTAATAATAAGGGGGGCCCACTTTTTGCAAATGGTTTTTGGAAATTTTTTAATCAGGCTGGGTCCGTGCGCATGTGAGAGATTGTCAACCTCTATTGTCATTCATTTATGTACAAATTGAATTGTCCTTAAGCTTTCTATACTATTACATGATTTTCCAATTCAAGAAATTGAAAATATCTATATGATTTTGCATCATTGATGAGTATATGTCTTTATTGTGTATCTTTACTTGGTCTATATCGTATATATGATTAGCTAATCTTTCTGAATTTGGAAAGCTGAACATGTTTCTGCACATCTTCCGCTCGATATCACTAGCGGTAGCACCACAATCAATAGCCCAAGGCAAGACCTATTCCTATGCTAAGCCTTGTGAAAGCAGCTGCGGAAATATAGAAGTTTCTTACCCATTTGGGATTGGTAAAGGATCAAATTGTTCCGTGAACTCGTGGTTTTATATCCAGTAACTAGGATGTTGTCCATATGAACAAGATTCAGCCATCTCAACTTGGTGAGGAACAAAGGAATAAGGATGACACAAAAACTCGTTCAAACCGATACTCGATGGGTACCGTTATCTGCCTAACTGGGTAAATGGGGTGGGAACAGGAACATGGGTCATTGCCCCGAAGCTAGCATGGAAAACATAGACCCCGCCCGACTACCCGCCCGTTTAAACTTAACTTCAAATTTAAATTTTTTACCAAACAAAAATAAAAGATTTATTATCATTTTTTAAGAGAACATATGTTGTTCTTAACCAATTGGAAAAAAGAGCAATAATATTTATTAACTAAAAATAAATAAATAATAAATAAAAAGAAATAATAAACGAGGAGATAAATGGGGCAAGGACTTGCCTGCCCCGATCTTGCCCCATTTCGCTTTAACTGAGTATAGAAACGAAGTAAGATAACAAAAATGCCCCAGACAGGATGAGAATGATCGATCTGTCCCATACTTGCTCTGTTACCATCCATAAAGGCATGGAGCTAGGTTATTTAAGCAACTTCATAACCAGATTCAATAATCCTACAACTAGTGATGTAAAGGAAATGATGGAAAAAGCGTTGGATGTTTACCAGGCGCACCCTCTTCCTCTTCTTGGGGCAATGCTCAAGAAATTCCTAGCGAACATAGAGCCTGCAGTCCGATGGTCGAAGCAGCTCCGGAGACAAACAAAAGGGCTCAACCGGAAGAAAGATTGGTAAAGAAAAAGAAGTTTATTTGTGTTGTACTAATTAAAAAGATGTTTATTCCTCTTTTTTATTTTTATTACATTAGGTGTATAATTGTAAATTTTGTTGTGGTGTATTAATTAAAATTATGTTTTAATTGTGGAGTGGATATAATGTGGCATGGATATAACATTTTGTGGTGGTAATATAATTACCCTATTAAATTTTACGCGGAAGTACATTTTGCTTGGCTTTCTTCTTCTTCTTCTTCTTTTTTTTGCCCTCGTTTTTGCTGCTTCAGGATTATAATTAGTGGAAATTATATAAAACTAGATTTTTTAACTTGCCATTTTAAAAATCAGATTTAAAGT